GTCAATCAATGGAAGGGTAACTGATGTGATACAGCAATCTGTATACGGGGTAAAGTTGGGAGTTCATAACCCACTTGAATCAAACTGCGAAAGATGATGTATTAAGAACTGTGTAATGTTTTGAATGACCAACAATAAAAAAAAAAAAGCCTTCCTGGGAAGGAAAATCTACATTAAGAAAGCTAGTGGAGTACAGTTGCAGTCCTGCAGATGACACTTGAAAATTGACTGAGACTTTTGCTTTGCTTCCTAATGCAATAAATGCTTAAAAGTTGAAGCCATGCTGATGTTTGCTACTAAGTCAGCTGAATCCTGGCGAGAAGGAAAACTATTCACCACTCCTATTGGCAGTCCTAAAGCTGCTATGCTTAAGTCAGGGGCTGTGTTTTATGAGCTTAAATGTCAGAGCTGGTAAGGAGACAGGATATGTGATAACACAGTATGAACTTAAACCTTCCAGGGAGGGTTCAGGAACTCAATACTGAACTTTAAGTACTGAGCCCTTATTGCATGCCAGACACCCTGTGCATCAACTTGTTCTCCCATTTTACAGATAAAAACTTGAAATTCAGAGAGGTCATCTGACTCACTCAAGGTCAAATAGCTAGTGAGGGCTGGGTTAGGACTCCAAAGCAGCCAGGTTCCTAAGTATCCCTGCCCAGAGTGCTTTGTGACTTTCCATAGGCCTGTTTGGGTTGTGAGTCCGGGATCAAGAAGTCTCAGGTCCTTCTTTTTCCTTTTCCCTTTATTCTTACACAGACAGACATCAACCTTTCCTGCTGCCTGCAGCTTGGAGTGTTTTCACTTGGCTTACATTTTGCCCTTGCTTTCAGCCTGAGTCCCTAGCCCATGATTTTATTCTATGCTCTTTGAATCCACAGGGATCATCAGTCATCTCCTCAATAAAATTACATTCTTTCATCAGTGACCTCCTGAGACCTGACTTCTAAAACATGTTTTCTTTAACTGAATACAATCTCACCTATGGGGATTAAGGTTCAGGGATTGATATGGTTTGAATATGTCCTCTCCAAAATTCAAATGTTGCCAATATAGTAATATTAAAAACAACAACAAAAAAAAAACAGGACATTTAAGAGATGATCAGGCCATCAGGACTCCATCCTGAGAATGTGATTAGATGCTCCTATCAAAGGGTTTGACCCTTTTGTCTTATGCCACTGAGGATACAGCTTTCTTCCCCTCCAGAGAACACAGCATCCAAGTTGCCATCTTGGAAGCAGAGTCCGGTTCTCACCAGACACAGAGACTGTTGGCACCTTGATCTTGGACTTCCCAGCCTCCAGAACTGAGAGAAGTAAATTTTTTTTTCCTTTATAAGTTATCCAGTCTGTGGTATTCTGTTACAGCAGCATAAACAAACTAGTACAATAGCAGTTGTTTCAAATAGTTGCTTTCAAAATTATACTATTTTCTTTTTTTCTTGGAAGTGAAGCTCTTTTTCAAATTCCACTTTTAAAGTTTAATATTCTTTTACTCTGGATGTGTCCCCTTTCCCCTTATTATTTCATATATTTTGTCTGTGGCACAAAGCTGACATTCTTTTCCTCTCTTAATACAAGTCATAATAGCATCTAATTAACACCCCAGCTATCCTCAGGCAGTGGTGGAAACCTTTCCATCTGGTGTCCTGTTATAGCTGCCTCCCCTTTTGCTCATCTATGTTCCTCTTAGCTTTATTTTGTGCCCTTCGAATCACCTTCCTAAAACACAAAATTCCACGTTGACCAAAAATTAGTTTAGAAAATAGATGATGCTCTGTCTTCAACTCTGAAGTCCTGCCATCCCTCTTATCCAGAGCTGACACAGTTAAACATCAAGCAGTACCATATGCTCCCTGCTGGGGAGACCTGGGTTTCATCATTCCCTCTAAAAGGTAGGTTAGTTTCCCCAGCTTCTTTATTTTTCCATTAAAAAAGGGAACTTTATCTAGGTTCAAAGGGAATTCAGACTTCTGCATTTGGAAGGGGCAATGGTTGAATGATAGATGCCTTTCTTTTTTTTTCACCAATTGAGGGAAGTTGTGGAAATTGAGGCTATCTTTTCTGAGTTTATTGTGCATTTTATGTATTTTAAAATATTAATTTAAGTATTTTAATGTCTGTGTGGGTAGTTAAATATGACCAGAGATTTTAAGGCCCTCCCACTAAGAGGCAAAATCTATTTTTCTATCCTTTGAACCTGTGTTAGCCTTGTGACATTCTTTGAATAATAAGTGCCTAAATTGACCCTCAGTGAGTTCAGGGACCCAGATCTTAAAAGAATCTATAGCGTCTGCCTTTGTTTATTGAAATTTTGTCCTGAATATGCTACACAGGAAGCCAGTGCGAGGCTGAGAGGCCACCTGGAGAACCAAGCTGCTCCAGCGGACACACAGCACCAACTGCCAGCCATGAGTGAGACCATTTTAGATCTTCCAGCTCAGTTAAGCTCCAGCTGAAAGCAACCCGCACACATGAGCCCTGGTGAGACCAGCAGGACAAACACCCAGCCAGCGCACCCATATTGTGAGAAATAATAAATCATTTTGTTTTAAGCCATTGTCTTAGGGTTGGTTTGTTCTGCAGAATAGATAAGTGAAATAATGTGACATCCCCGAATCACTGTGTCTCCCTGTATGTGTAAGTCCATATATTTGCATTTAAAAGAAAAAGTAGTTTCTTGGAGCTTAAAGCAATTACTTTCTTTGAATGTTCCACATAGACAGGGTGCAGAATAGAAATGGACTTTTTAAGGAGATAAATAGGGCACAGTCTGGAAATTTGCAATAGGCATATTAGGCAAGTAAAATGCCCACATATCAAAAGCATCTGCTGCCTCTTTTAGTACCTAACCAGTGGGTGAAAAGTATGCATCTTAAATCACTTTTATTATGAAATATTTTCAGCATACACAAAGGATAGAAAATAAATATCAAGTGACAACATACCACTGCCTAGAAAAGGAAAGAATATTATAGATACAATGGAAGCCCCTCCTCGAACACATTTCCTTCCTTCCCAAAGGGAACCTCTATCCCTAGATGGTATTCCCATGCATATCTATGTTTAATATATAGTTTTGCAGCTTTACAATTTTATGTGAAGTGAATCATCTGTATGTACCAACATTTTGCTTTTTTTTTCTCAGTATCAGATTTTTGAGGTTTATCCATGTTGGTGCAGGAGGAAAAACACTGGAATCTGCTCTTGGAAAAGTGAAATGCTCACCCTCTTGGAGTCAATCACAGGAATCAGGATCATCCAAGGGAACAATGGAATCATTATGACCTATTTCACACTCACTCCAGAGCAGACACAAAGTCAGCTTCCCCTTATCTCTCTCTCCCCTCCCCTTCTCTCCCTTCCTTAAATGTGTGCACATGAGCTCATTATACTGTAATGCTGTCTTACATTACAAAGCAGAAGTCAGAGTCTATATTGTATAGCTCAGTATTGTCCAACTGAAATGTAATGTGAGTCATATGTATAATTTTAAATGTCCTATTCTAAAAAGTTTAGTCATGTTCTAAAAAGTGAAAAGAAATAGATAAATGAACTTTTATATTTTTCATTTGACCCAATATGTCTAAAATATTATCCAAATGTATTACACATTCAACATGTAATCAGTATAAAATTATTAATGAGATTGATTATTTTTTTCATTTGAAGTATTCAAAATCTGATATGTATCTTACTGTTATTATCCTCAAGTTAATTTGGATTAATCGCATGTCAAGAGCTCAGTAGTCACAGGTGACTGATAGCTACAATTTTCGCACAGAAGGCCTTAAAAATCTAACCTGAAAACACACACTGAGCAGATCTTGGCATCCAGTCTTCACATTGGTAATTGAACATTGTGAGGAGTTTGACTCTTCTATGAGACTAGAAGGGTCTGTGCAGAGGTGTGTCCAGGGCTATTGGGATGGTTTAATTGAAGCAGCACCTGCTGGGTTGGCCAGTCTGGCAGGAGGCTCCAGCACCATCAGCCTTTACATAATCTAGGGAAGGTCACTTAACCTTCTAAACTCTTAGTTTTTCTCTATATGAGGGTGAGCCCCTGTGGCGCTGACAATATTGCTGGTTCCATCTTCCACTGCCAATCTGACTTGGGGTTAAGGATAGTGGCTGGTGTTCCACCGAGGGATGAGCTGCTATTTGTCTTCCTAACATAGAGAACCAGAGAGCTTTTCATTAGAAACAGACTCCTACATAGTCCTAGGGAGCCTGAGTGTAAACCTTTGTTCTTTGAGGAGGACCTTGACTCTGCCCAAGGCCAGACTGGCACCATAGAAGTCCACAGTCAGAAAGAACCACAAACCAACTCCCCTGGGTGGCATGGTCTAGGCAGCGCTTTATTTAGATAATCCACATAGAGATGCCACAGTTTGGTCTGGGCATATGATTATATGGTTTTCATGCCATGTAGCCTTACAGGAAATCAAGAGTGCTGACAAAACCCGGGTTTACACCAAATTCACTGTGCTCTGACTCAGTTTCCCTTTTTATCAACAAGGTAGTATAATTAGTACTTATGATGTAGGCATAATGATTCTATCCTGGTTCCCAAGTCCTTTCTTAAAGAAACACAAAACTCTAAGGAAAGCTTTCTTCCTAACACAACAGTCAGGAGGGGCCACTTGTCAGGGCATTCAGGTCCTAGGATCCTGGCAAATTGTCATTGGAAATAAACCTGAAATAACATGGTCCTATATCTTCTTGTATTATCTTTTTAAATAGACACAGCACCACCTAATGACCTCCTTTCCTGATGGGCATGGTGGTATGCATCTGCAGTCCCAGCAAATCCAAGGCTGAGGCAGGAGGATCACTTGAGCCCAGGAATGTGGGGCCAGCCTGGGGAACACAGCAAGACCCTGTCTCTTAAAACAAACAAACACAATACAAAAGTTAGTTTCTTTCTGAGAGCTCTGGAATATTTTTGGTTTCACTCTTCAGTGTCGTGAGATTTATTTTCAGGTATTACTTTTAATTTCAAAAGCGATTTATAACTCGATTTAATTTTAAAAGTTTCATACACACACGCGCATGTGCGTGCGCACACACACACACACACACACACACACCTAGAACAAATTCATATACTACAAAAGGGTATTTAATAAAAAGTAAATGTCTACCTCATTTTAGCCAAATACCAACACGTTCCCAGTTTGCTGAGTATCATTTTAGAGCTATTCTATGCATAAAACATGTATTTTCAGACTTTTTTTTAAAAAAGATGTGCTGTTTAATTTTAAAGCTACTTTAACTCAAGACAAGGTAAAAAGGTAGGGAACTGTGGATTAAAAAAGAAAAGGGCCTGGGGTATAATTGTTTTAAATGATGTGTTGATGTGTTGAGTTTAAAAATATTTTGATGCGTTCCAATGCATGGAAAACAAGATGCTGTGAATCATTGTCTTGAATAAACTGTCCAATATGATTATATAGTTTTGTGTTCACCACGGCAGGGTCACCTTAACAAGTTTACATAATAATAAACAGAAAACAGAAAGCTGCCCAATAAACCAAAGAAAGTGGAGAGGGACAGGGAGGAGCAGAAAGCTGACAGCTTCAAGAACTGCCATTTAGAGAAAAGGTGTTGAGAAGGAAGAGATGAGAAGAGGTAGGTAAGTCAAACTCAAGGCTGGTGCTCTCCAACAGGATGCACACAACTGTATCTGCACCATCCAACATGGCAGCTGTGAGTGCTCCTGACTCTTGAGTAACTAATGTGACTGAGGGGTTGAATTTTCCGTTTTTTTAATTAATTTATTTTTTTTGTGGTACTTGGATTAAACCCAGCAGCAAAAGAGGGCAAGCTATGATATGCAAATACTTTCAAGTATTTTTTTTTTGGTACTTGGTTTAAACCCAGGGCTTTTGTAGTACTTGGATTAAACATGATAGGCAAGTACTCTACCACTGAGCTCCATCTCAAACCCTGAGAGATTGAATTTTTAATTCATTTTGTTTTAATTAATTTAAATTTAATTGGTCATATGGGGTAGTGGTTGCCATTGTGGATAATGTCATTCTGGGCTTTGCTATGTCTTTGGGAGGCATCAGTGAGCAAGGAGGATAATGAAAAGGGAGAGAAGGTGAATAAAGGGTAAGTCAAAGCAGAAGAGGAAAGAAGGAAGGGACAGAGTAAGTTGCAAGCTGAGAGGCATGGATGACAGGAATGATTGTCAGAAGTGGGCCTGCTTCACTGGCAGGGAGCATCCCTCCACCTCTGGCATTATTCTGAGATCTTCTGCACAGGAAGAACTGGGCAGGCCTTCTTCATGAAGAGCACCCACATGCTGACCCTGTAGGCCTGTAAAAGGGAGCTGTGGTTCTCAACCCCTAGGACTTGTCCTCCTCCAAACATGTACAACAAAATCATTTAGTCCCAGAAAATTCACAGTTTCATACACCACTAGGTGTCACTATTAACCAAAATGAGTTCTTATTTTTTATTGTTTTTTAACCTGCACAATTTGGTGAAAGTTTCTTCTCTGAGTTTGTAGTTCATCTATTCAATTTATTTAGGTAATTTCTTTCACTTTGTCACATCAAAAGCAAGGAGATTTGTATTCTGAGAACCTCTCAACAGGGACTCTAATTTGTTTTTTCTTTCCAGTTAAAACTGTATTAAATACCACAAACATGTGCGTGCATGCACTTATTCTTTACTAAACATTTATCCTGTGCCAGGCAGGGGCCCCAGGTACCACTGAATAAGTTACATGCTGCACAACTCCAGGAGGGCACTGTTCACAGAGACTTCAGTGTGAATAATGTTCACTGAAGCTTCGGTAAGACATAGCTGCTTTTTTTTTTTTTTTTAATCTGCTCTGTTTTATCTCTTAGGAAGTTTTGTTATTATAAAACTTTCTTTTTAACTAGAAATTTTTAGATGTACACACCACCAGTAGCTTCCCCATTCATAATTGTAAGGAAAACTTAAGTTTACTTTCAGAAAAGAAATACCACCCCACTACACTGAGAATATTTTATGAATAAAGCTATGTACTAAACCAGCTAGAAAAATAAGTCATGATCTTTTTCCTTGAGAAATTCAAGATGAGGCTTGGTCATACCCAAGATCCAAAATAATATCCTTAAGTTTTGCATATCTAAGCTTGACCTCTGAGGAAGAGTAGGAGGAGAGCAAGGGAACATGAATTTAGGAACCATGAACTAGGGAGTCTATCCTGACTAGACTTTCTTGGGGATGTACCAGTTAGGTTTTCCTTTGTAACAAACCATCCTGAAGCATAGTAACTTAAAATGACAAACATTTATTATTTTTCTTGATTCATTGAGTCATTTGGAGGGTTCTTCAGATGTGGGTTGGAGTGACAGGTCTCTATCAGCAGCTGTTGATTGACCTCACCCATTTTCCTGGAGATTGATAAGGTGGTTGGCTGAAGAAGACTTAGCTGGGATGGCTTATCTCTGCTCCATGTGATCTCTCATGCTCTAGCAGACTAACCCAGGCTTCACATGGTGGCCTCAGGGTACAAAAAAGCAGCAAAAGAAGGCAAGCTATGATATGCAAATGCTTTTAAATTTCTTCTTATGTCATACTTTCTCTTGTCCCATTGGTCAAAACAAGTTACATGGCCAACCCTGGAGTCAGTGTGAAAGGTATTATCCAAGGATGTGGAGACAGGGAGGGCCAAACAAATTGGGGGTCATTGCTGCCTGCAACAATCTGCTAAAGAAAATTAATTTCTTCTTATTTTAATTTTTTTTCAAAATGATAATAGTATTGTCCAAACCTACTGCTTAGGTATGCAAAAAGAATAAACAAAACTGCTATATATCATTTAAAGAAAATGAATAATATAAACATAATTAATTTTTCTTCAGTTTTCTCATTTACCTTTTTTCTGTCTCCTACACAACAAAGATAACCTATTCATGGGGTAAATAGCAATATCACTTAGTAGAAATATCTATCAAAACTAAAGGTAAGCATTTCAACAGAAATTTCCATTTATTTTCATAATTTTCACTTGTAAATAGGTACATCTTATGGGCTATTTATAAAGATACCCACCTAAGGGTATAACTAGGAAGATTATTCAGGAGTAGAGGCCCCAAAATATCCAACCAATGCTAACTTCTATAACTGCACCTATGTCTTAGACTTTTTAATATTTTTTCTGCACAAGGGATTGAACGCAGGGTACTTAACACTTGAGCCACATACTCAGTCCTTTTTTATTTTTAATTTTTTTAAATTTTGAGACAGGGTCTCACTAAATTGCTTAGGATCTCACTAAGTTGTTGAGCCTGGCTTTGAACTCAGGAACCTCCTATCTCAGCCTCTGGAGCTACTAGGATTATAGATGTGCACCACTGCTCCTAGCTCCTAAGTGTTAGAATTTGCAGATATATTTTGCCACACAGGGTCAAAGTTGTCGGTGTAGCACCTGAAATACTTAGTCAGACAAACAGAATGAATGGGAGACTTAAAAGACCTAATCAGATAAAGAGAGTGACTAGGAGATTACAGAGTATGTTCTCATTCCTATTTGCATGTTACTAATTATAATTGAAGATAACACCACTTCTGTGAAGTCCTACCCAATCTTACTAGAACCAAGATTACCCAAGGACAGTAATTCATTCTTAGTAATAACTTCTTTTTCCTACAATTTGTAATTGCTATCATTTAATTTAATGAATAAACATTTGCTGAGCAACTACCTATTAAGAACTGAATCAGAAATTGAGATATGGACAAAACACAGTTGGTCCTTGCTCTTCTGGAGGTCACCATCTGATGAACAGTTAAATAACAACAAAATATAAATTAAATCTGACAGATAATTGCTCCGGGGAGCATTGTGGGGGAATGATTTATACCAATGAGATGAACTTGAGAAAACTTCACAAAGATGATAACTTTTTCTCTGAGCTTTGAAGAATGAGAAGGATTTCTTATTGGGAAGGAGAGGTAAGAGAATTCCATGGAGAGGGAATCAAATGGTAAACAGAGGTTTAAAGTGCATAGCATGTTCAGGAAAGAGCACCCAGGGGAGTTTGAATGTAGAGTATGTTATGGGAAGTGGAAAAGGAAGTGAGGCCATCTTGTTGAGATCTTTTGAGTACCATATTAAAGAGCTTACATAGTCTTCAAAGACCTTTGACTAAAGCATTCTCATGATTGTTATTATTTTAGAAATGTAACTCTGCTTCCCAGTGGCTTGGGAAGCTGAGAAAGAAGGATCACAATTTCAAAACCAGTCACAGCAACTTAGTGAGGCCCTGACCCTGTCTAAAAAAGAAAAAAAAAAAAAAGGAGGCGGGGTGGGGGGGCTGCAAGGCATGGAGATTTTGCTCAGTGGTTAAGTGCCTCTGGGTTTAATCCCTGATACCAAAAAAAAAAAAAAAAAGTTACTCTGGCTTTTGGTTCCTGGCAAACTGGCAAGCCAATAGGGCTATAGGCTATTTCCCTCAACTCATTTCTTCTAGTGCCTCAGAAATGGGGCAGTTGGTGGTCTGAGGCCCCAGTGTAGTAATTGTGAGAAGCTTCTAGAAGGACAAGTGGTTGGGTCCCAGATATATGTGAATGTAACTGCAGACCACAGAGGGAAGAAGGCAAGAGTCACAGGTGGGAAAGCTTTAATCCGGGGCTCTTTTTCTCTCCCATATTACCATGTGCAGATTATAGGTCAGACCTATATTCCACTGCAAGACAACAAAATCAGTAGTCCTGCACCAGCAAAAGATGGAGCTTGTGGGTACATTAGGGTAGGCATAATTTCTAAGTGGTATGGGAAGCAGATAATATGTGGACAGAACCTTATTTCTTCTAAAAACTGCTACTACTCAACATAGTACTGGAAGTCCTGGCCAATGTGATAAGGCAAGAAAAAGAAGCAATGAGAATAAGGATTTGAAAGAAGTAGTAAAGCTGTCAGTATTCACAGATGACCTGGTCATCTATATAGAATAGTTTGCAGAATTAACAGAAAAAACTGATTATTCATGTTCTGCAATGATGTCAGGAACCAGACCCGACAATCAGTAGCCTACTTCTTCAAGCAATATTCAACTGGAAAACATAATATAAAATCAGCTAATTTTTACAAGTACCTAAAAGTCTAAAACTACAAAGTACCTAAAAGTCAACTTCACAAAATTCAAAATAAAAATTTGGAGAAAAATGATATTATCAAAGGACAAAAGACATGAATAAGCAAAGATATATGCCAGGAGGGTGGACAACATCTCTTAACATGTAGATACCAATTCTTCTAAAATTAACCTAAAATCTAAAACAATTTCAAGATACAAAAATATTTTGAGGGAATGAAGAAACATTCAAAATTTATATGGGAGTAAAAAACCCAGGGTCCACAATTAGTTGTCAGCTTTGAAAAAAAGAAAGCAAGGAGGAAGTGCCCAAGTACACTTTGATACTACATAATAAAACA